GTTGAGTGATGTGTTAAATTTTTGCTGCTGATTTGAACGACTTCTGCTGCGGTCGGATTTTTGCACAGTCTAACCTGCTGTGAAAGTTTTAACCTAACAACACAGTGTTAATTAACAGCCGCTATAACATTGACTACAGATTTTAACTTGTTTGTCGATTCTAACACGCTGATAGACGAAGAGAAAAGGAAAACACATTCATTCGTTACAATAACAATTTCTTACGTCAATTTTCGTTTCATTTCTGAACGCTTCTGCTTTCGTTAATTTTCTTCCTCCTGAAATAAGCCAAAAAACATTGACACTTCAGTCGCGATTAATAATTTTAATCCAGTAATCAATAATTTGTCGGCAAGGCTTATCCAGTTTGGATAATAGTTCTCTGTCTCTCTGTCGAGCTGCATACGTGTTTCTTTCTATGGATTCCTCAACACAAAATTTTTCAATTGACCATAATGTTGTTTTTGGAACTTTTTTGCATTCAAGGTCTTTTTAGGACCCAGTCTGTTGGGGGCACACTGCAGCACCGCTCAACAAAGAAGGGTAGGGCTGGAGAGAGTGTACGTTAATGATCTCCAGTCGCTGTTTCTTTGCAGTCATACGTCACTCATCCGTATTTATCAGGATCAAATTTACCTGCTATTATATGTTTTACACATTGTATTGAACAGAACACAGTCTGTTCATGGAGAAAAGTTGATCGGTGTCAATTTCTCGTGTCAGTAACCGACAACTGTATTTAAGACTCACTGAAATGTCCCGTCTAGTTAACTACAGTGATCTATGAATCCAGTCCACTGTACATTGTGGTTTGATCACAGCAAGAGGGCAAGTGATTTGCTTCCCTATTATTTCAATCCTAGATCTTCTGGTATTTAAACTAGCTCTCTACCAGAGCTAAGCTATAATCTATATATAACTACTCCCAGCACCATAAGCTGTTATCATCTCATTGACGATAAAGTAAGACAGAGAGAGAGAGAGAGATTAAAAAGCTCACCACGTTTTATCTTTGCTCTCATTTCAAAGGTGTTGCTCGTTCCCAGTCCTGGGCGGTCAATCAGTGGCAATCAACAGCTAAAAAGGGTAGGACTGAACCGAAATTTTTCGGACATTAATTATCAGAGTATTCATAGCATTTATTTCAATATTCAAAAACAAGACCTTTTTTGAGAAGTTAAGAATCAGTGAAGTTAATCTTGCAGTGCTTCTTTATTTAATATAATGTTCATTTTTTTTTCTTGGAATCATTCCTCCGTTGGAAAGTCCTTTGAGAGGTATTTTTCGTCAGTTTACGCCTGGAATTCCGCAAACTCCTTTGAAAATCAAACGGTCCGATTGGACAGCGGCATTTCTTTGAAACACGGCTCCTTGATTAATGCAATCAGTTGGACCAAGATTGGCAAGTCCTGCTGGACAGCTCCTTTCCCAAATTCGTCATGTGTGAATGTTTACAGCAGTGTGCGATCCCATGAGGGATTAAGATAGATCAAGAAAGGAAAAGTAACATCCAATATCAATCTTATCCTTTACTAACTTATGAAACTTAAAGAAATTTTAAGCTGTGATGTGTACAGTTCAAGCGAGAGCATTGCCCACCAG